CATATAATATATACATACGATACAAAGCACTGCATGTTAAAATATTAAAAGGAAACGTTTTATTAATGAACAGAATCAAGAGATATTTCATTTTTTGTATATTTTCATTTCTTTATTTTATTTTTAATATATTCCATGTTTAATATGTAAGTGTGTAAAATTTATGATGCCACGAGCTTCATTGACCGAAATTGTTGATTTGTTGTCATCCTTGTTATTCATCCCTGTAACATATAAAAACTTCAATAAATAGATAAATTAATTAAACATCTGACAAACACAATATTAACACAAGCAAACATATTTATAGCACATGTGCATACAAAATTATATATAATAAAATATAAAACATATATATATTTATATACAGAAATATTTAAATATCACATAATTGTAAATATATGCTATGAAAATGTTATGAAATGTTATAAAACATACATATAAAATTAAAATAATATGTACATAACATTACATTATTGTACACGAACAATAAATTATGCATAATAAAAATAATAGGCATATGTAATTAAAGAAATATTTTACATGAGAGAAAGTATAACAATGTATAAATTATAATATAATGCAATTTAGAAGTAAATAAAACATATTTATAATACATGCATATAATAAAACGTTCAATTAGTAAACATACAATGTAATTATATAATGCACTTTGAAAGTAAACAAAGCATACAATTAATAAACATACATAAGAAATGGGGTTAAGGAAAGATGTAAAACACAGTAACGTATACATAACAGTTCATTCCACGAAATACATTTCATTGTCCAACTCTTTTTGAATCATATCTCAGCTACTCGACCTCAATATGAACCAAAGAAGAAGAAAGCCAATGAAATTTGTAAAAAATGCGATAAAATAATTACAATAATTATAATGGGCTCATAAATCATAAATTACAATTAATATGTTATGCAAACAAGACTGTAGATAGAAAACGCAACAAATTAAGAAGAATTATAAATGTAAAATGTTTAAAAGATTTCTATTCTTTCGAGTAATTGTTTACATGACTTATCATGTTGCGATAATGTGTAATAAATACGCATCCGGAGAAACAATTTTATTAAGAAATCTTTTGGGGAATCTGGACATGGTGGTTCAAAAGCTATATTTTGTGCCAACTAGAACAGCTAATTACTAAAACAATTTTTTTCAAAATTTGTGACAAATATGCCTTCTAATTTGTGAATATAATAACAAAAATCATTAGTTGGTATATTTAAATTACCAAATAAATCTCCATTTTTATTTTCGTAAGCTCGAAAAGAACAATATAGCGTTGTATTGTCTTTATTAATACAGGAGCTGCTTTTATCCATTGTTTGTTGTCTCTTTTGTAAAATTCTACGATATGATCCCACGAAGCTATTTTATTATCTATTTGAAAATTACATTTTAATAAGTTGTTTCAAGTTGCTTTTAATAAATGTGGAGTGTCAAAGATATATACAAGTTTTTCTCCATCAACTACAAAACTTGAATTATCTACTGAATTATTTAACATATAGGACAGTTGGATAAAATTTGAAACCATATCAGAAATGAAAGCATGCACCAAAGCACCATTGTTTTTTAATTTTATAATGATGTCAAATATAATACTTTTTTTTAAAAGTAGCAGGACATGCAATTTCTATAAAGCAAAAAATAAACGGGCAGTTTCCAGTTTCCTGCAATGCTACGTGCCATTATAACTAATGCACTTTTTGCTGGTACGGATGTTTTCCTATTACCAAAATCTTCAAAAACAACTATCTCATCCCGCGATATATCATAAAATAAATAGCTTTTCAAGCTCATTTCATCTGCGCATAATAAACAATGGCGCTCCATTAACGTAATGTATTCAATTTTACTTTAAGTACTTCAAAAAGTTTGTCATTTATGCCAGGCACAATATTCGACTTTTGTGTAAACAATTGTAGAGAACGTACTGAAGGCAATGCTTAAGAAATACAATGACAAAGCGAATGTTTTAAAATCATGATCATATCTTCTGCCACGTTTATTTTTGCTTTGTGCATCGATTTGTGCCGCTAATATTTTATTAAAACTTTGTGGTAATTACTTACGGCCTAATTTTTTTAAAGTTTTTTGTTTATTACTCTGGTTTGTATGCTCTTCTTCTTTTCTTTCAAACGAAGTCGTCGGATTGTTTCGCGGAGTGTTTTATTTTCTGCCTTCAATTTTGCGAACTTCAAACACAGCTTCTTTTTCCTTGGGCTATCCTTCGACGATTTCATGTCCTGTTTGGTATCCTTGGATGTACTTCTGTAACAAGTTTAAATTCATATTAGATATTGTGTGTGTGTGTGTGTGTGTGTGTGTGTGAGAAAAGATTTATTATTCTAATAGAAACAAATAGTAAAAGATTACTAAATAAAATACAAGATTATATGAAGAATTAAAATATATTATGTTAATGTACGTTAGCCCCCCGTGCAATATGTTGCATATTCTAGTACAAACTTTATTTCACACACACACACACACACACACACACACACACACACACACACACACACACACACACACACACACACACACAAAACACACACACACACACACACACACACACACACACACACACACATAAAAATATCGGTACTTTCTTTAACTCTTTAAGATCCAAACACCGATTCTGTTTGAGTAAGATTTTTTTTACAATATGATCTTTACAAATATTCCTGATAAAGAATTTTATGTATCGAATAAAATTGTTCTTTTGAAGGTACATAATCATGCACATTCATATTTATATATATACTTCAGCTACAGAATTACAATTAAATATTTAAATTAATAATAAACATGATAAATCAATTTTGTACTTTAAGAAGGTAAAAAATAAGAAATTACTAATTGTTTAGATATTTTCAATAAAATGAATAACATGTGACACAAAATCAAGTGTCAGTGAATTTGCTCTGCAAACAATCATCATAGTGGCTTATTTAGTGAGAATAGTAATATTTTTTAAGTTGGAACAGCAATTCTAATTGCAACTAGTAAGTATGAATTAAGAGTATTATACCGACAAAGTCATTACTGTGTCAATATAAATAGTATTTGGGAAAAGTTCGAAGTGAATGTACTTAATTATGTACACTGGGCCTTACAGAGTTAAATCAATAAAATTTGATGAAAATTAATATTAGTCTACACAAATATAATAATAAAAATCTACATTCGATTTAATGTAATTTATAATAAATTAAGATTTACGGTTTAACTGTCTCAGCATCCACATTATCAACAATAATTGGCAGTGTTTCTGCTGATTCCATATTGCTGAAAATATACAAGTTTGTTACATTAAATTTCTTATTAAAAATAGAAAATATTATCTATTACCTGTTTTTTTCCTGTTTTATTTTATTTGCAGGTTCTCCATCTATGTTTCTGCAACAAAAATATATGATATAACATTTGAAAATAAAATATTATATTATATATATATATATAGGTATACAGACAAAAATACTTGAATACAAAGCATTTGAATTTAACATACTTATTTGTTTCTGCTTCGATTTTAATGTCCATGTCAATCGTGTTTTCTCTGAAAAGAGATAGTTATTATTTCCCGATTTCATAAATTATTTGTAATAAAAAAAAAATAAAATATTGTTTTGCTCATTATCACTTATTATTAAAGTGACTACATAGGTATAAATTATTTTTAAATTAATTTTTAAATAAACTACATTCCCTTTTATATCTCTATTAAAAACAGACCTTGTGTTCACTAAAAAATAAATTAAATTATGAGTAGAAACTTACTTCCCACATTCTGGTACAAAAAATATTGTCGGTATGGCATCTGGATGAAGACGAGTTCTCATTTTATTTATTTTGTACCATTTTTCTTCGAAATGCAAATGGCACAACCGACAATTGTGATATGCATATTCTGGACCTTTTGGTTCTAAGTCCAGTCTTCCACATGCTCGTATCCATTGCAACCATCTACAAATTAGATATTTTATTAATAACGATGTACATAGAATTGAAAATTGATTTATATAAAAAGTGATAAAAACAACATACCTTTCATGTTCCTTCGGAAATCGGAAAAAATGACGCTCTTCTACATTAAATTTTTTTGTGCACGCTGGTACTGCACACTGTTACGTCCTGCAGACGCAGATTCTTTTCTTTCGAGAGAATCGGCTCCAAAAAATATTGTCGGTATGGCATCTGGATGAAGACGAGTTCTCACTTTATTTATTTTGTACCATTTTTGTTCGAAATGCAAATGGCACAACCGACAATTCTGGTACGCATATACTGGACCTTTTGGTTCTAAGTCCAGCCTTCCACATGCTCGTACCCATTGCAACCATCTACATATTAGATATTTTATCAATAAAAATGTACATAGAATTAAAAATTGATTTATATAAAAAGTGATAAAAACAACATACCTTTCATGTTCTTTTGGAAATCGAAAAAAATAGCGCTCTTTTAAATTAAATTCTTTTGTGCACGCTGGTACTGCACACCATACATTTTTTCCTTTAATCATTTTATATTGTTTTATAAAATTAAAACTAAAACAAGGACTATGAACCAAGCTGGATCTTAATGCTAGATTAACTACAAAAACATAAGTTTATTAACAAACGTTTCGACCCCTAGCTATTGGGTCATTCTCAATGTTAAAATTACAATTTGAACTTAACGATTCATTTGAAAAATAGTCACTTGCCAATACGTATGATGATTTAGACGGTACATGTGATAAAATATAAATTCAATATCATACATTTTACATGTATGTAAAATTTAATTATGGATAGTTGTAAGCATTATTTAATATCGTGTATGTATTTTTATTTGTGTGCATGTTTTATCATATTTACCGTCTTATGCCCAATTTCTTCACTTCCAGATAAGTTGCGAATAACCTTATCCAGGAGATATTTCCATTGTATTCTAAGAGATATATCTTGGATAAAGTTATCTAGAGGTAAAGAAATTGGGCGACTGTTACCAACGCCGATTGACTTAATCGACGATTAACTCAATCAGTAGAATTATTATTATAGATAGGAGATTTTCATTACTTGTATCAGAATTAAGGGGCCGATTCTGTAACTCTTAACGACAGTCGTTGATGTCGTAGCGCAGATATTATGTAGAGTAAAAAAGCTGCGCAATGATATCAACGATTGTCGTTAAGAGTTACAGAATCGGCTCCTAAGTATAGGAACGCAGAGATAGAAGTATATCATGAAGAGATGAGGTTAAGAATGATATACAATCTTGCTGTTGACTGCACTGCTGATTGAGTTAATCGTTGAGTAAGTTAATCGGTGTTGGTAACAGTTGTCCTCAATCATCATATGTATTGGCAAGTGATTGTTTTTCAAATGAGTCGTTGAATTCAAATTGTAATTTCACCATTGAGAATGATCTAATAGGGATTGAAACTTTGGTTAATAAACTTACGTTTATGTAGTTAATCTAGCATTAAGATCCAGCTTGGCTCGTAGCTCTTGTTTTAGTTTTAATTTTTTTAATTATTTGAGTCTATTTTCTGTTACTATTTTTATATTGTTCTTTTTTTTACAATTTTTTGGAGTTTACACAGCACCTGAAACAGAGAATTAGGATCAAAGTGCTCTTCCAAGAGAATTGCTAACCTATATAATTATATAAGTTAACTATTCTCTCAAAAAGAAATCTTTCTTGCTCGGTTTTCTTTGTTATTTTCGTTCATATTTTTACTTCACTTCACTTTTTCACGAAACTAGTCTCTTGAGGTTCCTCACACAACACTTCACTAAAGCGGGGTATACAATAGAAGTCGTAGCAGCCGTAGAGTCTTAAGTCGTAGAAAATTAACCAATCACAGTAGAATATGAGAAGAATGATCGACTATGATTGGTCAATTTTCTACGACTTACGACCCTACGACTGCTACGACTGCTACGACTTCCATTGTAGACTCCGCATAAATGGATGATGTATGTTATATTTTCCTCCAAATTTCTACTCTCAGCCAGTGATGTATATTTAGGTCTGTTCTTTTTGGCTGAACTTTTGCACCAGTTCATCTTTCTTTCTCTTTTTTCCTTCTGGAGAGAAAAGGAAGAAAGATGAACTGGTGCAAAAGTTCAGCCAAAAAGAACAGACCTTTTGGCTCTCGGCAACACGGAAAACCAGCCCCACCACTTGTACCCCCACCAAACAGACACCGACCGGCATCGAGCCGGCTGTCTTCGCCGCTACGAAAAATTGCAAAATATTATAGTTTTGAATAATTTTTTACTCAAATACTATCAACTTTCCAGAAAAACTGCAAGAGACAAAAATCATTTATTTTCTTCTCAAAGTTTTGAGAATTTTTTCAGAATTTTTTATCAACTTTTTAGTACTGCATTTTCTTATTTTTATCAACATGAGAAAATATGGTATCAAAAAATTCTGAAAAAAATGTATCCGAACGCAGCCTAAGAATATATAAATTACAGAGATATGTGACATATTTCAAATTAATCTTCTATTTTTCATTATATAATAATGGATCAATATATTTCTCGCTTCCATGATATGATATCTTAAAACATTTCCCTCTTATTTTAGATAACAACCACATATGTACATACACACGTATATATACTTATGATATTTCATGGAGTTCTTTGGATATCCCACGGATGTCGGATAATTGAGATCATCCATGGATATCACAAGATTATCCATTGGAAATCCCTAGGATAAATTTTGCACATGGTTGTATATCCCTAAAATTAAAATCAATTCTACACAATAGTTGATTTTAAAAAATCATTCAATTTATTAAATTTATGCTTATTTTAGATTTTGTTCCTTCCACATAGTTCACGCAAATTGTGCCTAGTTATTACTTAGTTCCATCACAGTCGAATATGCCTTCACCCAAATGTATAGAGGCATCAACGTCTAAAATTTGACTTTATATTATTGAATTGTAATTACAATTATTATATTACATTATTTCCATCGCAATCATATATGCGAAATTATAATCTCTTGGTCCTTTTTCTGTTAAGAGATTGTCTAAACATTTGCATTAATAGGATATATGGTGACTCTACCGTTAAAGACAATGCATATGCACAGAAATAACTAATCACCAAGTATCCTATGGACGTAGTGATCTAAAAATGAAAATTGTGACAATAACAATATTTATTTTATCGAGGTTGTAGTTTTGATTGTTCATGTACTTACCGTGGGCAGAAATTCTGAATGAACAGATGTTTCACTATTCAAACTAATCGAACGTATGATAACAGGATTTATAAGGTAAGCGCAGTATGTAAGTCTGCTAAGAGGAATCCAGATTTTCCATGATAAAAGCTCCTTAATAATACCTGTAATAAAGCGTTTGATAATACTAAAATGTTTTTTTCTAAATTATAACATTGCTCTGTTATGATTTGTTATTGTCTTTACAAAAATGTTTATTGAGTCTTGTATCTATTGACGCTAAAAGTCACTCCGAGATCTCGGAATTTAAATTGTCGTCTGATAAATTAGTTATCTCAAACGTAATGCGTCATTGTTTCGGATTACGTTTGAGATAACTAATTTATCAGACGACAATTTAAAAAGAATATACCACTGAAGAAAATTGTGAACCTACTGCAATTATATGTGGACTGAGAAACTTGTAGACTGTACGTAAAGATTACTGCAAAAATCGGCATTGATTTACTGAGGCTAATTCATACGATAATGGACTTTTGTTACATATTATTCCAATGATTGCAGTGAAAAATAAGTTCTATTACCATTTACAATTTATGCTATACATGTAACGTCAATTTTTAATTTTAATGGAGCAACCTCAATATTTTCTTTTTCGTTCAATATTTTCTTAATTCTTCCATATTTTTAATATTAATAACATAAACATTTTTTACATAAATTATCTAATATATGTAACCAATTTATATTGCGACCGGAAACGTTACGGGGTACTGAACAGGTACGCTCCAGCGTAAAGGGTTAAGTTTGGAGGCGCGCAAAATATTAATAGCCAGCGCTACTCCAGGAAATATAAAGCTCTACCTTACTTGGTATTTTAAATGAATTAGTTAAAAGTGATTTTCTGGAAATCTTTTCTAATTTAGCAATAGCATCACAGATCTTATTAATTGCGCCAATGTCTGTGACTACAGAAGCATCTATTTCAAATTATAAATAATAAAATATTATCTGAGAAATATAATGAAGACGTGATTATGCAATTTAGCTATGATATCAATTGAAAAAGAATTGACGAACAGTTGTGATTACATAATCAGTCGTGATTAAGTAATCACAACTGAATTACGTAAACGTACTTGATGATGTAACCAGAATATTTTCAAAAATTAAGTTGGAACATATAATAGTGTAATAGTATAATATAATATGTTGCATTATAAGTATCAAAATATTATTACAAAAGAAAATATGAAATTTATTGTATTTTTATCCCCGTGTTGCAAATTGGTGGAAATTCCTTTTTTTTTAAGTTGTTGGTTTATTGTCGCTGGAGGTGGATTGGTGCTTCAAAGACTTAAAATCCTTGTAATGGGAAGTAAAAGCAAATTCCAGCGTAGGGCGCCAAAGACGGTCGTAACGCCTCCGTTTGCGATCATTTTATATACATTTTTATTTTTATTTTCAATTAGCTCAATTATTCTGTTTTACAACTAAGGATCTGATGAAAGTTGAAACGTTTGTATGATTTAATGTTTATATGAACCGATAAATATTAAATGTAGATTAATCATGAGCACTTAACAACGAGTTTTGCCTCGTAGCCCTTCCTTTCTGGCAATCTTTATTTTTAAGAAGTTCTTGAGTCAGAATATTCTGATTATTTTTTATATCTATTTAATACCATTATTAAATCAACTAACCTCCATGCTCAGTGCAACACATTATTACAATCCATGCTATGCCTATGGCCCAGACTGTTCTACTTAATGCAACATAGATAGCAGTAGATAGAACTGATATTTGTCGATTGTAAAGACCAAATAACACCAAAATGTTGCAAGCAGCACCAAGAATCCAATATAAAATTACAACATTCTGAAAAATTGAGAATTTGGATGTGGATTAAATAATGCTTTTATACATTTATATAATATTTTCTATATTATATACTTGTCGTTTTCAGCTATATCGAAGTCTAATGTGAGAAAAGTCAGTGTCTTAATTTATAAATGATTATTCAGTATACATATACGGGGTGGGGAAGAAATATGGAAACCCTGAAAAATCTTGAAAAATGTTAATTGTACAGAAAAGCATTTTGGGTAAAAGTTGTAAGGTTTAAAAAGATCTATTTATTGGTCTTAGTTTATCCTTTGAAAGTTACTCCTCTCATTTTTAGTGTAAATATTAAAATAAAAGGAACAATCTTCAAGAGTCCTGACAAACGTTATCATGCTGAACAACACTTAAAAAATTACAACGGTCAGTTAGTCGCCGTACATAACGTTAATGATGGCGATATTGTAACTTTCAAGTCTTATAATTCAAAAAGTACTTAATGATACAATTTTGGGACACTCTGTATATATATGTACATATGTATAACTGCAGATTTAATTTAAACTTAGCTATACTTTAAAATTTTCTGTAAAAATTAATCTGATATTAATCCATTTGTAATTATGGATACTTCAAATCCGCGTTCAGCATAATTAGAAATAACAATTTCTGATTATCGTCTGAATTTTATTAATCGATAGCTTATATAAATACTCCTCAACTCTAACAATTGGTTACATCAAATTCTCTTATGTAAAAATAAATTGTATACTTTACCTTTTTCAAGGCTATTTTTTTGTTAAATCTTCTTATAATGTAACCTGTAATCATTCCAATAATATATGGACCAATTCGAATCCATGGTGGAAAGTATAAGACATCTTTGAGTCTGTACTGTTCGTCGAAACTGTAATAATAAAAAAGTGCTTATTTACTTAATTAGTTTTACAATTAATTAGATGCTTTGCAACTTACGTCGGAACAAATTCATAAATGTATGAGATATAACCACTTAGGATAACCGAGGCTATCAAAATTGTACTTAGTATGACAACAGCCACGTAAAAATAGCTGAAATTTATAGCTTTTATTTATTCAGATACATGCTTTGAAAATATATAACATTCCACAGTCAACGATCGTTTAACTTACACAGTTGACAGAATTAAAAGCGCCAGACCGATTATAAAGAATTGCATATCGCTGGATAGATACCAACTCCAGGACAAGCACTACAAAAACATTTCATTATAATTCGGAATAAGGAGTCTCTCTTACACCCTTCGGAGTGTGTGATGCCAGAATGATATTAATGATATTATAATTAAAGCTGTTTTCCAAAATTTTCTGCCAGTACTGAAAATCTATAATTTACGTTACGTGCACTATAGATTTTCAGTACTGGCAATAAATTTTGGAACACATAGTCTAAATTGACATTCATACCATCGTATTATAACCGAATAGATTATGTATGTACAAGACATTTCTCCACCAGTATTTTGCGCAAGTTTCGTGCAGTCTCTCATCAACGTAGAATTGCGAAGTCTTGTCGTACCAAGCTGAGGTCAATTGCGCTATTCCTACCATCATTACATAAGCCGGTGTCAACCTTAAAAGAAATTTCTAGATTTAAAAACTATAAAGAAAGCAATTATTATTTGGCTCATTGTTAAATTGTATTTTTAAATCGCATTTTCTGTTATTTTGTTCAAACGTATCATCGATGCTATCATGTTTACATCGTCGTCAAGGTTCATGTTTGCGTAAATTAAGATAACGTTAGAAACGTACCGGATATATCTGTTTATTGTGATGATAAAGAACTCGTTTAGCTTCTCTCTGTAATGAATCGGCTTAATTCGTTCCTTGTCTATTTTATTCTTTAAATACATGTAAGCCAATAAAAATCCGCTTAAAAAGAAATAAGTGTCAACCGATACAGTTGAGTTGGTGAATACTTGCATGGGGACACCTTTGGCCATTCTCAGCGTCGATATTTTATTGTCTACATATGTGAAAAGACGTTTGTTATGCGTGGAAAACGACACATCAGGAGACGTAAATAATCTCACAAGGGAACGGTCGGAACTGTCCCTCACCGATTTCAATGCGCTTTGGATATGTTGTAAAGCATCAAAAAATATTCGACCCATATTTTTTTATAGCGGCTTATCTCAAGGTTTAGGGGGTGAAACACCCCCACGAAGAAAATAGATTTTTTCGTTTTCAGCGAATATCTTCGAAACTATGCCACGTATGAAAAAATGTTTTATACAAAAGTTTTACAGTATTTTATGCTCTATATAATAGTGTATTCATTTATTTTTTAAATCAAATTTTTTAATTAACCCCTACCCCCATTTATCAGGGTTGCAAAATTAAAAAACTTTTTAAGAACAAAAATTAAAGAGCATCGGATGCCGAATCCATT